ATTGGATGACTTTTTATATTGTTTATATTGTTTCTATTTCTTATTATTTAGCCAATCATAGGATTTTTAACCATGCTCGCACCATGTGACTGCAACAATTTTAATATAATAGATTTTACAATATAGAAGTATCTTCACTAGCAAATGATTGAAAAAATTTATTAAGGCTAATCATTTTGAAAAATTGCCAACACTTAGAATAAAAACAACTAAAGCGTGCTAACAACAATCAACCTTTAATAGTCTTTCAAACTACTCGATTCCAGCATCCAAGTTAATAACCTGAGAAGGATTAATAACCCCATAGGATCCACCTGAGTTAAGTAAAGATTCTAATTTCTTATTCTCTTGTTTAAGCTTTTCGAGTTGTATTCTTATTGTATCTTCAATACTAAATTGCGCTTTCATTTGTTGATCATGAAAATCTTGAAAGGTTTTATATTTTTTTTTCAGAGAAATGTGTTCATATGTTGCATTAATTTTTTCTACCATTAAATTATTAACTTTATTATTAATGGATTCAAGTTCGTTTTGTAATTTTTCAATCTATAAAAAAACAACATATACAGTAATATTAGGAATATATAATAGCTTTTTTTTAAAAATTTTTAAAATAAACTTCTCTTATCCTTTAATTGGATATTTTCTTCTAATGTTATGTTGTAAAAGTCTTTATAATAATCAACCCCATTTCCTGACAATGACGCAATCTCCTTTTCCAAAAGAATAATTTTTTGTTCTTTTTCATCATTATCTAATTGCATAGCTTTATACCCTCTTTTCAACTTAGCCAACTTAACTTCTAGCTTAGAAATTTCACGTTTGTTAATGAGGATGTCTCTTTTAAGTTGTTTATTCTTTGTTTCCAATCTAATAAATTAAAAAAAAATATTATTAACAAATTAAATCAAATATTATATATAAAATATTACCTTCTAACTTTTTCTTCATATTTTATTTTTTCATTATTAAATTTTTGTTCTAAACTTTCTTTACTTGCTAAAACGTCACATTCAGATGACTCCTCGATAACACTCTTCCAAAGTTTAAGTTGTTTAATTTCATCATCAAAAAAAGTATTATCTTTTCCTGAAAATCATGCTTTACACCACTCCATATATGTGATACGTTGATTAAACTCATTGATCCAATAGACCTTGTCTATTTTATTATTTCTATTTCCACTTCTCGTAACCACAAAAGTATCACGTTTGGTGGTTTTGCTAGTTTTCGTGGAGGTAGTTTTCTTTCTTCTGAGAGGAGACATTTTTTTTTAAAGTAAAACCGTACAGATTTTAATTGCTTTAAATACTATTATCACAGTGGTTTAAATAATATAAATTTTTTTTAAAGTAAAACCGCTCAGATTTTATTATCATCATAGCGGTTTAAATAATATAATTTTTTTTAAAGTAAAACCACTCAGATTTCATTATCATTACAGCGGTTTAAATAATATAATATTTTTTTAAAGTAAAACCGCTCAGATTTCATTATCATCACAGCGGTTTAAATAATATAATTTTTTTTAAAGTAAAACCGCTCAGATTTTATTTAATTATAATTACTTTAAATACTATCATCACAGCAGTTTAAATAATATAATATATTTTATTTAATGAAGTGATATTTCCCTGAATATCAGGACGAGCTCTTTCATCATAACCAAGAATTCTGCCACTGGTCGAGAATCTGATCACTCCACTTGAGCTCATCTGAACCTTAAACAAAAAAGTACAAAAGTGAATATCTGTAATATAAAAAAATATATAAGAAAAATAAAATAAAAATAACTTCCCTCAAATAATGTATAAAAAGTAAAGCTTCTTAGAAAAACTAGATTTCTCACTTATCTATGCTTAAATACATACTTGGTATTGTTAATTTTCTGTATTGTTAAAAAAAAAAAATAAGTAGCATAGATAACCATTTCTTGTTTGAATGACTAATCTGGTTTGAATATGCATGACATGACTTCTTTAAAGGAGTCTTTTCTAATGTATTGAAACACAAATAAGTCGAATCCCGATTGGTGTTGATTTTTCCAAAGTACAGCAAAATTCTCTCAAAGTTTGACTAATCAATGTAGAAACAATTATGTACACAGATAAGCCGAATCCCAATTGGTACTTGCTTTCCCAAATCACGGCAAAATTTTCCCATAATACGAGATTTTGATAAGTAAATTTCTTTGTAGTAATTAGCAGTTAGTTAATCAGTTAAACAACTATTTTGTTTGAATATGCATGACATGACTCCAATGTATTGAACACAAATAAGTTGAATCCCGATTGGTGTTGATTTTTTCAAAGTACAGCAAAATTTTCCCAAAGTTCAAGATTTAAATGACTAATCTAGTTGGAATATACATCCTAATCTTTTTTGACACAGATTAGCTTTGTATTCTATTGATTATCATTATATACACAGATAAGCCAAATCCTGATGCTAGCTTTTCCAAAGTACGGCAAAATTTTCCTATAGTATGAGATTTGATAAGTAACAGTGAAACAAATATAGATAACTATTCCTTGTTTGAATAACTTGAATATGCATGTATGATTTCTAATATATTGAATACAAATAAGTCAAATTCCGATTGGTGTTGATTTTCTCAAAGCACAGCAAAATTTTTCCAAAGTTCGACTAATCTGGTTTGAAGTTGCATATATCACTTCTTTCAATGTAGAAACAATTATATATACAGATAAGCAGAATTCCGATTGGTGCTGACTTTCTCAAAGCACAGCAAAATTTTCTCATAGCACGAGATTTGGTAAAGTTCTTTGTAATAAGGCAGTAAAACAAACAGATAGCCATTTCTTGTTTGAATGACTAATTTGGTTTGAATATGCATGATATGACTCCTAATGTGTTGAATACAAATAAGCTGAATCCCGATTGGTGTTGATTTTCTCAAAGTACGGCAAAATTTTCTCAAAGTTCGAGATTTGAATGACTAATCTGGTTGGAATATGTATAACATTACTCCTGATCTTTTTGACACAGATTAGCTTTGTATTTCATTGATTATGTACATAGATAAGCTGAATCCTGATTGGTGCTAGCTTTTCCAAAACACAGCAAACTTTTCTCATAGCACGAGATTTGATAAGTAAATTTCTTTGTAGTAATTAGCAATCAGTTAAACAAACATAGATAGCCATTTTGTTTGTATAACTAATCTGGTTTGAATATGCATAACATGACTCCTAATGTATTGAACACAGATAAGCTGAATCCCGATTGGTGTTGATTTTCTCAAAGTACGGCAAAATTTTCCTAAAGTTCGAAATTTAAATAACCAATCTGGTTTTAATATGCATAACATTTACTCCTGATCTTTTTGATACAGGTTAGCTTGGTATTCTATTGATTATGTACACAGATAAGCCAAATCTTGATTGGTGCTGCTTTTCCAAATCACAGCAAAATTTTCCCATAGTATGAGATTTGATAAGTAAATTTTTTTGTAGTAATTAGCAGTCAGTTAAACAAACATAGATAACCATCTTGACTGACTAATCTGGTTTGAATATGCATAACATGACTCCTAATGTATTGAACACAAATAAGTCGAATCCTGATTGGTGTTGATTTTCTCAAAGTATGGCAAAATTTTTCCGAAGTTCGAGATTTCAATGACTAATCTGGTTTGAATATACATAGCCGAATCCTGATTGGTGCTGGCTTTTCCAAAATATGGTAAAATTTTTCTATAGTATGATATTTGATAAGTAAATTTTTTTGTAGTAAGTAGCAGTGAAACAAATATAGAAAACTATTTCTTGTTTGAATAACTAATCTGGTTTGAATATGCATAACATGACTCCTAATGTATTGAACACAAATAAGTTGAATCCTGATTGGTGTTGATTTTCTCAAAGTATAGCAAAATTTTCTAAAGTTAAAACTATCCAAAAGACTAAAGAACTGACTAAAAACTGACTAAAGAACTAAAATACAAAAGTGCTATATTTATACAGACTATTAGACTACAAATAAGCTATATAATATTTACAAATATGTAGTATAACGATATAAAGTTTAATTCAAGTATACTCTATACTATAAACTTTGTATAGACTATTATAAAATTATATGCCAAAGTATATATATTACACGAACGAAAATATAATTATGAAACTTTGTTGCATAATAATGACATGACTTCTAAGAATCCACCAGATAGGGTGGGTTCAGTCCTAAGAAGACTAGTTAAGAACCGGTCTTTTTGACCAGTTACATGGTCTTCGGTTTTCAGTCTTTTAACAGATTCAGTCCGGTTAATGATAAACTATTAAAATAAGCTTATAAACTATTAAAATAAACTTTTAAACTATTAAAATAAAATTTTAAACTATTAAACCAAACTCTTAACTAATTAAAAAACTATTATTTCATGAATTTATTTCGATAACGACTAGAGATAGATCAGTCCTGAAAAGACCGAATAAGGATTGGTCTTTTTAACCAGTCTTATAGTTAACTGGTCCTTGGTCTCGAGACCAGTCTAGACCGGTCCTCAAGAATAATTCAAATAACCAATTAAAAAAATACGTTACATAATTTTTTATTTTCAATTACCAATGTTATATGATTTGATTTTTCCTACTAGCCAATAAGATTAAATAATTAAGAACCATTATTAGGACTGAGACTGGACTGAAAACATTAATAGACCAGTCTTTTTAGAACCGGATGGACTGGACCGGACTTGTCTATCCTTAATAACGACGGCTAAAATTGATAATATACTGGTAAAAATAGTTTATTTTTAAGACCAGGGACCAAACTGACAGAATCGATGAATACTATTAGGACCGGTCTTATTAGAGACCGAGATGAACCGAATGGCCCTACTACCAAGATGACCAAGAATTTCTTGGGTCACGTGATAATCGACAGCATTCATCCAATAAGAAATCGTAATTATGTATAACGTAACATGATCAGAAAAGCCTAAAACAAATATTTGTTTTGGCAAAAACATCATTTAATTAGTAATCAAAAGTCAGCCAATCGCATTTATCATCTCAAGTTGGATCAGATTTCACGTTGGTTCCTCACAATAATTGTCAAATTAATCTATTTTAATTTGGACAGACGGATAGGATCAAAATTAGACCAAATATTAGATTCCAAAAGCAGCTTTAGTTATCTCTTCAAAACCAATATTATACAGAATTTGGGTTAGCTTTTGATTAGTTGTTAATCTATATTTTTAATAAATTGTAATTTGATATAATGTTAACTAAATAAACTGTCTAAAATAATCATTTATGAATTTTTATAGAAAAAACAGTTACTTTATTTTTAAACTTATAAATATTATTACTACTATATAATATTCTAATGTTTACTCTTTCCGACGATCTCTCAAAAAA